CGATTGTTGTTTCCTAGCCCAGAATAATTGCAGCTGAATTTAGCACGCAGCGTCCATCCTAAGGCGTTATCGAACAGCATCGTTCGGGAGCTAGGTCTGAGATTAAGAACGCGCAGACAAATGATGAGGAGTAGTGTAGTTTGTTCGATGCTGTGGTGAATCTCATCTTGAGCGTGCCTCTTTCTAAAAAAGAAGAGGGGAGAGAATAAAAAGACCTTGCAGAATTTGTGTATTCTATTTTAAAAAGTACATTATGTCTGAGAAGTCAGGCTGCATGGTGTAACCGGAGCCAGGACTTTCTGCTGAAGCGAAGGGCGGGAGCGTAGAGCGAAACAGTCGAAAATAGGCACAGTCGAGCATAGTGTAGGAGGAGAAGGTTAGCAGTCGCACTGCTGGGTGAGACAGTCTTCCTCTCTCTCGCTCTCTGTTTCTCTCTCTCTCTCCTTATCTTTGTCTCTGTAGCTCTCTCTCGTTATCTATCTCTCTCTATCTGTCTCTTGCACACAGTTTGGCGTGGAGTGCTGCACTAATGGCAAGTGTGTAATTTACGCGTGACTAACACGGGAAGTGGAAATACATGTGTAACTGTACATCATGTTGTCAGTGTTCCTATTGTCAGTGTATTCCTTCTGACCCCCGCCTCGCCCCGGGAGGAGAATACACACGATCACGTTATACTCTGCAGCTATTTTTATTGCATAACTAAGATTGGAAGTTGTGTGATGTTTGATCAGGAAGTTAATTCGTATTTCTGCCTTTCGTAGTGTGCAGATGAGCATTCTAACCACGCGTGGGCGATATCGTATCGTTTGCGATAAACCGGTAGAAATTCTCCCCAGAGTAAGAATTAGTCTTTGTGCGATAATAACGATAAAGCCTGGTTGATGAGGTATGTGTGTGCGAGACGCGTTCACAGCTCACGTGCAGAGCGAACACGAGTACGGTGGAAGGCGGACGTGAAGCTGAGGAGGAGTTTATCGCTAAATGAGGAGCTTACGTCTACAATCTGGACATGGTTTAGTTACAGAAAATCACTTTTACTTTTAGATCAATGTTTGTGTTTCTGAGGCTCAGAAGACCGCATGCAGCTGTCACTTGTCGCCAAAGACACTGGTGAACGATGCGATATTTATATCGTCACTGATATCGTTATCGCAATAAATACCAGAAAATATCCTGATGGAGTTTTAACTCCATATCGCCCATCCCTACTTCTAGCAACTAGTAACTTAATGTTTTGTTCTTGCACTGTGCTCCTCCTGATCGTCCCAATACGTTTCTGTGGGTGTTTTGATGAATCATGGAATTCCCACGATCAAACATCAACTTAAAATAATACCGGCCAGACTTTAACCATGACACATCAATGGTGTGTGTTTATGTTATGCAAGGCCTATGGCAGTTAGAGTGTGTTGCAATATAACTTCACATTGTATGATATTTTATCTTGTACAGACCTGCAATGTTTTCTTTTAGGATAGTGGCAGTGAATTGGTATATTAGGAATGATATCGCGGTTTTCCCGCTTCTGCAATGCAGAATCTTGTTGTTTCAGCGTCTCACTTGTGCAACATGTTGTTTGTTAAAAAAAATGCACTTATAAAAACAGCATAATAAAAATACAAATGTCATATATTGACTTAATAATAATCTGCCTATTTCCTGGTTACCGTAATTATTGTAGTATGTGCTCAGTGCTGTTTGTGTGAAACAAAAGCGAATGGCTTGACCAGCGTTGTGCTGCAGAGTAGACATAAAGATCTCGTTTTAATCCCCCCCCACCCCGCCAAGTGTAAAACAGTTACTTTCAATAACCAGCCATAAAACAATTTTAAAAGGTGTTTTAAAGAAAACTGCACTGTCAACATTTTAAAGTGCACCTATTATGGTTTTTCAAATATTACCTTACATGTGGTGTGTTATAGAGCTGCTTGTGAATGTAAAGTGAAGAGTTATTGACTCCCGAAAGAAGAAAGCGATTCTGAACAGCTGAAACGAGTCGTTAGTGATTCCAGACTTTACTTCCTGTACTAACCTATGTAGGTCTGTAATAAAAGCCCCACCTCTGATCTTCATCGGCTGCTCAAGAACAGACGGAGCTCAAACTCGTTATAGTAGTGAGCGTTTCCTTTTCGAAACACGCTGACAACGGTCCAATAGTAACAGACTGACCAATCAGAGCAGAGTATGCTCTCTGAAAGGAGGAGTTAAGAGTGAGTCCTTTATAATCATTGAACGAGTCGTTTGTGACACTGGAGGGGGAGGTAATGCTGCAGTTTAAATTATGAGCACATTAAAGTGTTTTTTGGCCTTGGGTGCATGTAGATCTATTCGATGAGACCTTTAAAACAAAACTAGGCACGTTTTAAAAAAAAAAACTATAACAGGTGCGCTTTAATGGTCGAGCATTGATGTCTCTTTTGAGCACAATTTTATACCAAATTGACTTCCTTATACGGTGCTCAGCATAAAAGAGTACACCCCAACAGATGTCACAGAAAATCATCTGACTCTGTTTACACTGAATACTTTCTATGGGATCCTATACAATTAAAATATTCCAGCAACGCTGGTTTATTGGTTGCAAATGAGGTTAATGAAATTTTTTTTAAGTACATGATTTAAGATCATGGTGCAAAAATGAGTACACCCCACCGAAGCTTTTCGAAATGAAACTTGGTAAAATGCTAATTAACTGGAATTCAACAACAGACGAGAATAATCAATCATCACACAGGTGGCTGCTAGATCATTGACGATTAAGGGTGGGGTTTAACCTATAAAATCTCCTCCCATTCACTGCTGACAATCATGGCACCGTACAGAAGAGAAATGTCATGAGTCTTGAGAAAGAAAGTAATTTCTTTACACAATTAAGGCCAAGGCTTCAAGAAAATGACTAAAGCATTGCTAATCAGTCGGAATACAGTAGCAAAAGTGATTTATTTACATTTACATATCTTCATTTAGCAGATGCTTTTATCCAAAGCAACTTACAAATGAGGAAATACAAGCAAAGCGATCTATCAAGCAGAGAACAATACAAGTAGTGCTACTATACAAGATTTAGTATTCAGGTCTAGAAGAAGCAAAGTGCGCAGAGTAGACAAGTAGGTGCTAGAGAGAAATGTTTTCTTTTTTTTTTTTTTTTGGGGTTAGTTTGGTGTTCGCGGAAGAAGCGGGTCTTTAGCTGTTTTTTTTTTTTAAGATAGTGACAGATTCTGTGGTCCGGATTGAGGTTGGAAGCTCATTCCCTGAGGTACAGTTAGTTTGAAGGTTCTGGACAGGGACCTTGAGCCACGCTGAGTAGGCACTACTAAGCTTCAGTCGTTAATTGATCGCAGATTGCGTGAGGGAACGTAAACCTCAATGAGAGTGTTGAGGTAGGTGCGGTACAAGGTCTTGTACGTGAGCATCAAGGCCTTGAATTTGATGCTGGCGGCTACAGGAAGCCAGTGGATGGAGATGAAGAGGGGCGTGACATGGGTTCTTTTGGGCTGGTTGAAGACAAGGCATGCTGCTGCATTCTGAATCATCTGCATTGATGGAGCTGGCTGGGAGATCCGAGAGTAGTGTGTTGGAGAGTAGTCCAGTTTTGAGATGACAAAAGCCTGGACTAGTAGCTGTGAAGCCTGTTCGAATTTAAAAATTCAACAACGATGGACTTATGACAAGCATTCCGAGACGTATGCTGCACAGGAGTGGCATGCAAGGATGTCGTCCACTAAGGAAGCCAGTGCTAAAACCCATGCACAAAAAAAGCCCGTTTCGCATTCGCCAGGGCCCATGTTGACAAAGGTGTAGAAGATTAGGACTCTATACTTTGGTCTGATGAGACAAATTTCAATCTTTTTGGAACTTATGTCTTCGCAAGGGGGTAGAGTACAATCAAAAATGCATGGTACCCACAGTAAATCATGGCGGTAGCAGTGTTCTTCTATGGGGTTGTATGTGTGCTGCATTTGTCGGGGAATTGCACGCCATCGACGGCATCATGAATTCACAGATGTACTGCGAAGACCCTGGGAAGCTATGCACTCTTTCAACACAATAATGACTCAAAATATACATCCAAGGCCACTGCTGCATTTCTGAGGAAAAACAGGGTGAAAGTGATTCAGTGGCCAAGCATGTCACCTGACCTCAACCCAGTAGAACACCTCTGGGTTCTGAAAAGACCGGTCGAGCATCATTCTCCATCCAGTTCTAAGGCTCTGCAAGAGCTCATTCTTCAAGAATGTCCAGAAGAGTTGGTGCTGTTCTTAACAATATTAGGTTTGGGAGAATATGTTGTAAGCTGTACTCCTTTTTTGTAACACCTCATTTTTTTGCCTTTGTTTATTTATTCATTTTCATATGATTCATTTACATGTGATTCATTTACATGTGATTCATTTAATAACACCTCATTTGAATAAAATGTATTATTTTCTTAATCCTAATGATGCAAACATCACAGAACAGTTAGTGCTCTCCTTCAGCGCATTCCGCACCCTTACGACGTTCCGTGAGCGTCACGTTCAAAAAGTATGGACATACACAGGTTTTTATTTATTTATTTTGAACCAGTAAAGGGGCTGAAACTGAAACAGTAGTATCCTCTGATGCTGAGCAGGAAAACAAGGTGTGTAAATGTCTGTCTGAGTTCCAGTGTACATGAACATGATATTTGCAGAGCATAAGGAAAGATAATGTCCTTTGCTACATGGCACTGTAGCAGCTAAACCCATACATCCAGCCATCCATCTTCAACCGCTTATTCCTTCTTCAGGGTCGCGGGGAACCTGGAGCCTATCCCAGGAAGCATCGGGCACAAGGCGGGGTACACCCTGGACAGGGTGCCAGTCCATCGCAGGACACAATCACATACACACTCACACACCCATTCCTATACTACGGACACTTTAGACACGCCAATCAGTCTACCATGCGTGTCTTTGGACTGGGGGAGGAAACCTGAGTACCTGGAGGAAACCCCCGCAGCACGGGGAGAACATACATGGCCCCGGCGGGAATCGAACCCCGGACCCTGGACATGTGAGGCGAATGTGCTAACCACTAAACCATACATTGACAGCTAAATTACCACAGCTTCCTCAAAAAAAAAAAAAAAAAAGAAAAAAGCTTTAGGTTGTTATCTGAGCTGAGAATGTTGAGCTGGAGAACTGACCATTATGTTTTAGTATCTGTACTATTTTACTATAGTACCTGTACCATTGAGGGGGGAATTGTGGTTCATATCAAGTAGGTCCATCAGCAAGGTTTTTACAAACAGATTGGGAAAGTTTACTCAGTCACTTTGGGTAGTTTTCAACTCTCATTCATGAAATTATGGGAACATTAAGAGAACATTAAGGGAATATTAGGATAACATTAAGGGAACGTTAAGAAAACATTAGGGGAATGGTAAGAAAACATTAGGGGAACATTCTGCAAACCTATTTCCATAAAGAAAATTTTCCTGGCTAACAAAAACATGCCTTAAAATGTATGTACTGGGAAGCAAACGTTGTTAGCTGGGTAGAGATTTAGACGGCTTTCCCGTGAATCTGGGGATGGGTGAGAGGTGCGGGTGGGATCTCGCCTAGGTCGGCAAAATGGCCAGAAACTGCCCCATGCCCATGTGTTTGCCTGTACGCGTGTGTTACACAAGCTTACGTCCATGTCCTTTCTCAGGCAGGTGTTGTTCAGATTGTGGCCAATCCAAATGAGGCCACACGGTTTCCGTGGTTACCTGCGCCAAGCCCAAACATGCTGTTTAACATGGTGGGATGTGGTGTTTATCTGTGGTTGTCTGCAACACCCCCCCCCCCCCAAAAAAAACCCCCAAAAACCCCAGATGACTGATTTCCACTCTCCTCAGTTTCCTTTGCTTCCACTTTCATCTGATATTAATTTTTATTTTTTAATATCACCCCTTAGCCTTCGCTTGCACTCCTGCAAATGGACACGGTTGTTGGAACGGTGTTATTGTTTCCATGGCAACCCTGTCTCCCCTGCGATAAAGGGGGAATGTGTGCAGCGAGACAGGGGAGTGAATGAAAGACATCGTTCATTCATGAACATACTTTGCTCTCATTCACCGCCACTGGAGTTTAGTTCTCTTCTGATTTCTGAGTCTTGTGTTACACTCACCACAGGGGTTACGTAACAGCAACATTGTTGCACAGTTCTGTGTGTGTGTGTGTGTGTTTTATATATATATATATATATATATATATATATATATATATATATATATATATATATATATATATATATTATATATAATGTGTGTACATATATATGTGTATATAAATAAATATAAAATAATATTAAAAAAATACACACACATTTTTGTCTGTGTGTGTGTGTGTGTGTGTGTGTATGGGGGGGGGCTGCTGGAAAGTGTAGGGTGTGTGTGGGTGACTGGTCAGCAGTGTCATGAATTGCTGATGACGTCTTTGGGCAGTTGGGAATCCCTCCTTTGTTCTCTCTTTCTCTCTCTCTCTCTCTCTGTGTGTGTGTGTGTGTGTGTGTGTGTGTGTGTGTGTGTGTGTGTTTTGCTGCCTCTCGCTCTTTTGCTCACATACGCACTTCCCCCTCCCTCTGGCAGCTCCTCTCTCTGCAGTATGACGTCATTTCTGGAGGTTCCTCTCTCCTTGCAGCACTTGCTGTTCTGCTTCTTTCACTTACAAAGCCTCAGCCTATGTGACTTCACTTCCGAGTGATGCATTTTCCACCTTTTCTGTACGTGTGCCAGTGTTTTGTGTGTTTATATTCATGTGTTGGTTTTTTTGGTGGCAGATGGTTAGTTTCTCAGCCCTGGCACTTTGAGTTTGAACCGTTCCTCACCAGACCGGCACGTCCTGCTGAACTGAGTGCATGAATAAAAGGATGGCCTTTAGCTTGTCATATGATATTTTCTGTATTTTAAGGACACAAGTCATACTGTGTCAGTCATCGAGCATATACAATACTCATTCAGTTCTGTGCAAATGACTTTTTTTTTTTTCTTTTTCTTTTCCCTGTGCATCTTTTTTTTTTTTTCTCTCTGGATGACTCACTCATTAAAGTTCTCCCACTCTGTGTGCCTCCAGCAGGAGGGGTTTATGTGACTGTGCGTGGAGAACTGCAAGATGCAGGAGCACTGAGGACGCACAATCTCACCATGGCGTGTCCCCCATCCCCTTCCCCTCTTTAAGAGCACCAGCTGTCCAACATTTTGTCTCTGGGGCTTCTTAGTGGAGCCCCACACACCAACACACTACAGTTTCAGGTAGTGACCTTGTTTCTTATATAGCTGTGACGAAGTATACAAGCTATGCGTTTGAACAGATCTCTCTTATTTCTGCCTCTGTTTCTCAGTCTTCTGTGTTTTTGTGTGCAGAAAGTGTGTGTGTGTGTGTGTGTGTGTGTGTGTGAGAGAGAGAGAGAGTTGGGTCCTAGCCTCTCTGCCGAAGGAAGATGTCTTTGGTATTGCCCCTTGATGGGGTGAGAGAGGGGGAGAACGTGCTGGTTACTGAAACTCCTGCTCCCAGCCGCTGTAAAGGAACCTCTACCACACTGAGCAAAGACAACAACGCTGAGAACAACGGTGCAGAGCCCGATGACAACCTCGCACAAGACACACAGGTAACATCTGCTAGCATACAAACTGTCAGGGCCAGCATATCGTTATGAACTTCTATTGTAGTATTACACAGACATCATCATCTTACCTTCTGCTCTAGGTCACTCTAATATACTGTTGTAATAAGGGGTTTACTCATAACTAAGTTGGGCAGTACCTGCCGATAACCGGATTTATCAACCGATTATAATAGGTTTTTAATATTGCTACTGAATGAAAACACAATACTCAAAGTACAATAATGCTAATCTTTTATTAGAATTTATTTTTGTATATAAACTATGAATAAATATTGGTCAATAAAATATATAGAGTACAGTCCAAACGTTGTTATAGATTTTTTTATTTTTTATTTTATGACTTCTACATTATCGAGTCGGTACAGAAACCTTTTAGATTCCAAACCATTAGTTTTCCAGCACAAAATTAAATGTCGCAAGAAAACCGTTTGTATGTCAGTGAAGAGAGCAGCATATTTAGTGGTAAGAGCTGGATTTTGCTGCAAAAATAAGAAGCAAGCGCGACAGTAAAAGTCTCCAGAAGAACTATGACCGGTTTTGCAAGATGCTCAATAAAACTTGCAGCTCATTTCCTTATAAAACTGCACTGATTCACAAATTCTACTATTAGTACTATTTTTTTTTTTTTTTGTCACCAAATATTGACCTGGTTTTATTTATCACGGTTTACTGCTCTTTACAGCATTAAAAAAAAACGCTCGGATGTACATTTACACGTGATGTAAAATAGCATTCACTAGAAAATACAAATGTCCTCTCAGGGCAGCATACTGTTTATACAGTATAATATATAATAAACAGTACATGTTCAGTTTGTAATAAATCTCCAGCTTCTGTTCATGTACACGTTTATGTCGGAATGGCATTTATATCTCTCAAATCCATTGAACAGCTCCACTGCCTTTGCTCATGCTGCAGAACCCAATAGTCTAGATTCCAGTTAGCAATGCAACTTGTTCATCTTCAGGTTTCATCACCATTGAGAAGTCTTGCTATAGAAGGCCACAGTTGCTTGTAGCGACCTCTTGCAGATTTGCTTGCGGTCACTTTTCTTGCACACGGAAGATTAATTGATCTAAACCGTGCACTGTTCTGTACAGGTGGCGGTGGTGGCAGCATTAACGTTCACCATCTAGATTTGACTTGAGTTCATTGGTAGTGAGGAAGTTCTAACTCATTTAAGCACAAATGTTTGCGGTCCTGTCAAAAAGAGATCGCCGATATTACCCACCCGCTCGGACATATCGTACACCGCCATCTCGTTCTCCAGTAGAACGTGGTTTCTTTTTGGAGTGGTTGAAAATGATCGGATTGACACTTAACACCGTCTCCTGTAATAAAACAAGCTACTTTTAAAGTCCTCGTGGAAGGCAGATTGAGGAATTTGGACAGAACCGCAGACTCACCGTCACTCTAAAAAGCTCTTGCTTACATGCTGCTGAAATGTTGCCCATGTTATGGACTTGAGCTCTGACCTTCCCACTGATGGTATGACTTCAATGCAGCTGTTTCAGGATGAGCTGGAAAAGTTGTTCATCATCTATAAAATCTTAATACCCAGGTCCAGGTTTATATAACAGCAATTTTTCCTTCAGCTTTTATGATGTTCCACAAATCCATTGCTGGAGAGATGCGAGTATTTGTGAGACTTTTTCTGTTGTCCTATTCTCAACCTTAAATGCAGTGAGTCTAATAACTAATAATATGTGGTCAGTTTATCTTTGTGATCGTTTGTAATGCATAAATATTGTACAAATGTGTCCTTAGCATTCATTTGAGAACTGTTAAATGGCTGCCACAATCTCCTGTATTTGAGTGTTGTATGAACAGAGATGTGTTTCTCATTAGAAGTGATCTAAAGGTTTTTTTGTTGCTGTTGTTTTTTTTTCTTTCCTTTCCCCGAATGTACCGCAGAAACGCTGTCAAAACCATGGCCATAGCAGGAAAAGAGCCAAGGTAAACACTGCTGCATGATGTACTGTTGGGCGCCTGTGGCTAAGGTGGTTGTCCACTAATCACAGGGTTGGCAGTTTGACCCCCCCGGCCCACATGCACCCACATGCCAAAGTGTCCTTGGGCAAGACGCTGAACCCAGCGTTGCCCCCAATTGCAGGCTAGCGCCTTGCGTGGGGGTGTGTGGAGGTGTGTGGGGGTGTGAGAGAGAGAGAGAGAGAGAGAGAGAGAGAGAAATGCTTTCTAGAAACACTAAGGTAAAAAAAAAGTGCTATATGAATGCAGACCATTTACTGTAGTACCATGTTGCCATGAATGGTGTTTGTTAATCCTCCTGGAAAAATTCCAAGTGTGGCAGTGGAAAGACAACACACACACACACACACACACACAAATGTTTCAGGTAGCTATGACTCGCAGGCTTTAGATGCGAGTGTGAATTAAATGTTCATCATTCACTGTGTTCATTTGAGAAAACGTTGTTTTTTTT